TGGATTCCCTAGTAATAGTTGGTATGTTACTGAAACATTTAGACTGTTTTTCACGTAAAATAAAAATGTTATTTTTTTTTTATTTTCACAAAAAAAAAACATGCTTAAGGAAACCTCAAAATAAATTTGAATTTGTTTTCCAGATTTTATCAAGCTGAGGTTGTCTTTTTGACACAAAAAATGTCTGATTTAACCCAATCCAGATTGGAAGCTTGGTTGTGATGCTGTGGACCTGGCTGAAGCAGCCATTCAGTGGTTTTATCTCATATCAAACCAGCCATCTGTTTGTACTCCAACTATCTTCACTCTGCACTGGTGTCTGATTCCACTTGACCTAAGAGGACGGTAAGCAAAACAAAAACGTATTTCCTTACTTAAAGATGAGATGGATGATGTCACGATGGTGAACAAAACACTATTGCTGACAGGCGGAATAGAAAGGTGTTGAAAAATTTTCTCCCTTCAGCTAGACACACAAAATACAAAATTATTTACTGTCACTAAAGAGGAAAACCATCATGCAAATAAGCATCTTTGAAATGAGCATACGGTAATCAATATATCCCAGATTCTGAGTCACTTCTTAAAATATTTAACTCTGAATAACTGGACCTATGTGGCGGATGAGGACCAAAGGATCATGGAGCAATGCATGAAGTCTTTGTCTTCTAAACAAATGTAGGCACTGCATCAGGAGTGACTGAGTAGATGAAGCCATTTTAATGAATACTTTGATGAAATAGTCTAAGATTAAACTGACAAAATGCAAGTTTCGTACTTTCTTGGATGTATTATTTTTTAACCCCTATGCCCTCAGTGTAAGCTGTTGAAATCAAAATGTTAAGATCAGAGTGTTTTTGGAGGAAAGAAAAAAACCTTATTACATTTTGTAACACTTAAAAGATATGCATATTTTAATGCAAAAATCAAAGTTGAGGAAATAACACAAAACAGTAACTTTCCCTGATATATATATTAAAAAAAATTGACAAAAGCGCTTTGATAAAAAAAAATTCATGAACACTTTTTGATGAACAAACACCTTAGATTATTAATGCCGATATATGCAGTTGCATTTTTTTTTACTTATTTTACATAACTTATAAAACTTTTCAACTTAACTTTTCAAAAATGTTTTATGCCTTTCCCTTAGCCTTTCCCCTTTTTCCTTAACTTTTTTCCCCAGCTTAATTTATAGTTGTTAAAATTTCATCCAAGCCCATCTAATTTGTTAAATGCCAAAATGACAAGTTCTGTCATAAAGCTGTAGCTTTTCTGAATAGATGGATATAAACCTTGCATAAAGGCTTAAAGTAGTTACAGCATGACACACATTCTGCATTGTAAGCATTTGTTATCCATCGACTATCACAGCTGTATTCCAAGCAGCCTCATTGCTTTTCGTGAGTATTTGCTAATTAATTTTGAAAGGATTGTGCTAAGAATTTGGAGCCACACAGACCACAATTATTTTCAGTGTATTGGATCCCTGTGGCTTGGAGGGATTTATGCAATAAGTCATGCCACTAATTTATACAAGTATTCATATGAAAAACATTGATTAAACAAAAGAAAAAAGATGAAAACCAATAAAATCTCCAAAAAATAAGTGTAAAAAGAAGTGAAATTCCTATTAGGGGGATGTAGGAGTGACCTAATGTTATAGCGTCACCTAGTAGGAAAAAAACAGTACTGCACTTTCTGGAGAAAAAAACTATTCAGTGTAAGGTTTCATAAAATTCAGTGATTCAAACTATTATTTCTAGATTAAATCTTTCTTCAATCTTTAAATTATCAAAATCATGAATTAATTTTAATCTCTAAACATTTAAATGTTAATCATAGTCTGACCCAACTCCGCTTTGATAGCAATTTTAATAACAATAGTTTTATTTGGGGAAAAAAAAAGCATATTTTCCTACTTTATTTTGGATTTGCTTCTTCTAAAGTTCACAAAACCATAAATCATAAAGATGTGCATTCTATTAGAAAATACAATCTCATTCCCTTTTCAATCATTTTTACCTGGGAAAAGGTTCCTGACAAACTTTTAAAACAAAATTTCTCATTTAATTTCATGGTAAATTTTGGCTACTTTGAACAGCAATGGATTTCTTATTTAAGGTCAACACTACAGATTACATTACTCAGTACTCTTCTCTCCATCCTAAAACAACAATCAGATAAAAGGGTAATACATTCTAGGTTGGTCTTTTTTGTGTAATAATTAAATCCTCATTTGTGCTTCTATTAAAAGTTAAATGCCAATTATATTAGGGAACATTTTCCCTATTTTTTTGTTCATTTCAAACACCTATTCATTGAAATGCTTTATTTACCTGAAGAATTAAAACCTGCTATGTATTCATTTGAGTATTGTCTGTTGATAGTCAGTCAGTGTGAAATAAGGAAATAAGGCAATCAAAGAAAGGTTAGGTTATTTAAAAAATACCACAAACTTTGCAAACTAAAAGTCATGTTTGACCAATCGTTTATAATAAAAACTGATCTAGACTTCTGAAACATTGTCATCAACCTTAAAAAGGTATAATGGAGTATTTTACAGATTTTTTGAAAAGACCTGCCCTCTTCACTTAAAAAAATGCACAACCCTGTACCCGCTCTCGAGAGGGAACACCTATTAAACATGTACTAGAGCATGCATGAGCCCATTTCTCCTTGTGCACGCTCTGTTTAAAATTTGCTGTTTGCATCTTCGATACAAGCTACTTTCAAAAAGAAGATTTGCAATTTTTCCACTATGTCAGACTGACCATCGGTAAGTGAAAATGGGAACAAGCACGTAAGATGGCCTTACGTAAACCAAAATGACTGACAGTTAGGACCACTTATTTTGATCATCCACCCAGAAAAAGAACATCCTATACTATACCTTTAAGTATAAGTCAGAGGTCAGTGGTAATTCTGGAGAAGATGCAAACAGTCCAAGCTCAGGGAGGAACATCTCCCCACAGGACCAGAATTAGTCACCTTCACAAATTTGGCTTTTAATGGAGAGAACCAGTAAGAAAAAAAGACCTGCTGTTTACCAAGAGCAATGTCGGAGAGAAAACGGAAGAATTAGGTGATCTGCTCAGATGAAACGTGTCAATGGTGATACATCACTGTGGGGAACGTTTTGTTCTCCAGGGACAGGCAAGATTGTCAGATGAGTCAAACACAGTAAAATCCTGTGACCCCTGCAGCTGTAGCGGTCAGTTTTTAATTTTACTATACAATCATGTCAAACTACAGTCATGGCCAAAAGTTTTGAGGATGATTCAAATGTTAATATTTACAAAGTCTACTGCTTCAGTTTTTATAACGGCAATTTCATATACTCCAGAATGTTATAAAGAGTGATCAACGTAACAGCAATTAATGGCAAAATCAATATTTGCCTAGAAAGTGAACTTTATCTCCCAAAACACATTTCAACGTCATTGCAGCCCTGCCTTAAAAGGACCAGCTAACATTGTTTAAGTGATTGCTCCATTAACACATGTGTCAGTGGTGATGAGGACAGGGCTGGAGATTAATCTGTCATGATTAAGTAAGAATGACACCACTGGACACTTTAAAAAGAGGCTGGTGCTTGGCATCATTGTTTCTCTTCTGGGAACCATGGTTATCTCTAAAGAAACACGTGCAGTCATCATTGCACTGCACAAAAATGGCCTAACAGGAAAGAGAATCGCAGCTAGAAAGATTGCACCTCAGTCAACAATCTATCGCATCATCAAGAACGTCAGGGAGAGAGGTTCCATTGTTGCCAAAAAGGCTCCAGGGCGTCCAAGACAGACCAGCAAGCGCCGGGACCGTCTCTTAAAAGTGTTTCAGCTGCGGGATCGGGCTACCAGCAGTGCAGAGCTTGCTCAGGAATGGCAGCAGGCAGGTGTGAGTGCATCTGCACGCACTGTGAGGCGGAGACTCTTGGAGCAAGGCCTGGTCTCAAGGAGGGCAGAAAAGAAGCCACTTCTCTCCAGGAAAAACATCAGGGACAGACTGATATTCTGCAAAAGGTACAGGAAGTTGACCGCTGAGGACTGGAGTAAAGTCACTTTCTCTGATGAATCCCCTTTCCGATTATTTGCGACATCTGGAAAACAGCTTGTTCAGAGAAGACGAGGTGAGTGCTACCACCAGTCTTGTCTCATGCCAACTGTAAAGCATTCTGAAACCATTCATGTGTGGGGTTGCTTTTCAGCCAAGGCAGTCATCATTCTCACGGTCTTACCTAAAAACTCAGCCATGAATAAAGAATGGTACCAGAATGTCCTCCAAGAGCAACTTCTCCCAACCGTCCAAGAGCAGTTTGTGATGAACAATGCCTTTTCCAGCATGATGGAGCACCTTGCCATAAAGCAAAGGTGATGTCTAACTGGCTCACGGAACCAAACAGATTTTGGGTCCATGGCCTGGAAACTCCCCTGATCTTAATCCCATTGAAAACTTGTGTTTTCAATGGGATTAAGATCATCAAGAGATGGGTGGACAAACAAAAACCTAGGAATTCTGACAAAATACAAGCATTGATTGTGCAAGAATGGACTGCTATCAGTAAGGATTTGGTCCAGAAGTTGATTGAGAGCATGCCAGGGAGCATTGCAGAGATCCTGAAGAAGAGGGGTCAACACTGCAAATAATGACTTGCTGCATTAACTCATTCTGTCATTAAAAGCTTGTTACTCATAATATGATTGCAATTGTATTTCTGTATGTGTTGACATCTGACATACACACATGAAAAACAAAAGGCAGCAGATCATGTGCAAATATAATATTTGTGTCTTTCTCAATACTTTTGGCCATGACTGTATTGTCCTATTACAAAAAAAACATCAGGGTTGCATCCATTTAAATTGTTCTGGATACAAACATCACGTTTTTCTTCTACTGGCAAGATAACAGAAGGTCCTAACACTGAACTCTAAACAGAATAAATGTAACATTTAATTGAAGATGCAAGTTTATTTTAAAAAAATCCTAAACCAATAATTTCACATTGATCTCCACCATCCGACAAAAGTGAACTCATTAGTGCAGAATAAAAGGCACATATTTTATTCTTTGTGAGGATTTGAATAAAGGAATTATGTTGCAAAGACAGATTGTAAAAAAAAAAAAAAAACAGTATTGGGCGTCAACTTGATACTGAAATTGAATTTTAACCATTTATTTAAAACAGAATCAGTCGCCTCCTGTAATAAAGGTCATCAGGCCAGCATGATTATGTTGCCGTCAAATATATATATATTTATATGTATAAAGGGTCAAAGCCATGCGTACCAGTTTACTAAATATTTTACAAAAGATAAAAGTGTCAAATGGATAGTTTGTTAGTGTTGATAGGTAAAAATCTACCCCAATGCACTTAGGGTGTTATGTAATCTGTACCAAACATACAACAAGATCCAACCTATACATCAATGATTTATCATGTTTTTGCACTGTGTAGGTAAAATACAAAAGAAACATCTTATAAACACGTGTTAATGTTTTGGCTTAAACATAGTACCATTACAAATGTAGTGTAGTGTACACATCCTATACATCAGTGCTCCTTAGCTTAGCACAATCTTATCTTTAACTCATGTGGAGGTAGAAATACTCCAGCATGCCTGCACAGTCAGAGTAAAGACAGTCTTTGTTTATAAACTTAAAAAATAAAAAAATCGAAAACATAAAATCAATAAAAAGTATGAAACTAGTTTGAATTTTTTGTTATTTCCATGCAGGCAGGAGTGAATATCCTAATAAAGTTTATCTCTGCACCATGTTCTACTGAAAACAATTCAACTAATGCTTCCCTAATATTGTTCTCGCCTCAAAATATTAGTGTTTAAAAATAAATAAGACAAGCAGCACATCTTTATGCGTAGTGCATTATTGTCTGAGACTTTCAGGAAATAACATCCTCCAATCTTTTGATCAAACTGATTTAAAGTCCATGATTTTCCACGTAACAGAAATTGTACCTTTCAAAGATACAGAGAGAAAAAAAAGCCAATGTGGCAGGTTAAAACGACAAACTAAAATAAATTTGTTTAGAAAATACACTTAAACTCGTCACACATCAGTCTTTCCTACGGTGTAAAAACATGCTTGACCACAGCATCAATCAAGTTATATAAAATCTTTTAACCATAAAATATAAACTTCTAGAGTTTATTTCTAGTCAGTTTTGCATTTCTTTTCTATAGTTTTACTCCATGCTGTTAACTCACATTACTAACTTTGAAAAACAAAACTGACGCTGGATATTAAACATTTCAGTGGCAGCTTTTGGATGTTTCCTTCTTGCTCCGTTCGCCAAATGAAAACGGTACACATGACTACAAGGTAGGACTACGGTGCGACGGTTGGTCTAATTTAAAACAACAAAATGAGAAGAAGTAAAAACAAAAAGTGTGTTCAGAGTAAAGGAGTTGGGGGCTCTGTGTGCTGAGCTGGAAATAGTGTTTTTAAGCCATTTGTATTAAAATTCGGATGAGTCTCTGCTCCAGGTGTGCTGCTAGTCATTGACGAGGCGATAAACGTGGTACTGAGCTCCGTGTTCGCTTGTGGACACTTCAAACACAAAGGCAATGCAAAGCAGAGTCTCCTGGGTCTCTCTGTTGGACACAACCTGACAAAGGAAAACAGGAAGGTTAGGACTTATCAGTTTAACAGGAACTTTTTATGGTAAACTTTACATTTTAGAGGTGAAAAAAACTACTAAAAGTAACCTTTATTCACTTAAAACCTTAACTGAATTAGTGTCCTAAGCTTCTGATATGCGAGCCAATTTTTCCACACTTAACTTGCAAAGCTAAACAAATTAACATCCATTGAAGCAGTTTCTGACAGTAGGTTTTAGTTTACTGTTCAAATCTGTTTTTTAGCCAGACATTGTTAAATAGGCATTTCCTTGAAGCCTAGTAGAGAGAATATTTGGATTGAATTTCTTAATCTAAACAATTACTCATTTGTGCAGAACTTTGTCTGTTGAAAACCTTCCTCTGAAGTGGCCGTTTGCCACCCTACACCACAAGCTTTTAATATACTTCCATTCATTACGTTTTTTCCAAGTTGTATCAGTGCCATTGAAAATGGGGGCTGTCATAACACCTGAATTCCTCAGGCAGAACTAAATGTGAATGGAAAACTGCCGCAGATATAAGCATTAAAGTTGAATAAACGTTTACAGAAAAGAAATATATCTGATAGAAATGTTTACTAATCTATTCAAGACTTGACGATAGAACTTAAAGGTGTCTGATTACTAAAGATGACTGGAGGCGGAATATAAAATCATGGTGACTAATTACCCGACAGGTTAGTCAGATTCCATTATCTATGCTTTGAGAAGGTTGCAAGTGCCCAGTTTGATCCCCACAGACTGCTACTCTGGGTCCCTGAGCAAGACCCTTAACCCCACACTGCTCCCAGGAAGCTGCACAATTGCCGCCCACTGCCCCCCCAAGGGGATGGATTAAATGCAAAGAGCGAATTTCTCCAATGTGAGATCAATTATTATTATTATTATAGCATTCTTTACGATAGCAGCGTCAGTAAAGTTTTTTTTTTTTTGCTTTGTGAGTATGTGTGCAACTTTAAATGAACATCCTGTGGCAGAATTTGCCTTTTTTTTATAGGCTTGGGGAACAAAGACTACTGTTTTTTTAAGCACAACCTTCAGTTCCTTCACTTTGTCTTGATGGAGGGTGCTTCCTGCGGGAAACTAAGGGGTGACATTGCTTTGGTTAGATGCCGCTCCACGTTGCATCCCCTTTCCTTACAGCTCAACCCGCAGATCAGAAACACCCACTTGTTATTGACATTTTTGAATAAAAGTCAAATTCCCAATCTAAATGGAAATTGTATGTTTTCAACTTCTTTGTGGCACTTGTGAAGCAGGGCAGGACAACTGTAACCAAGCTAGGCTAGGAGTGCAACGGAACTAATTGATTGACAGCTGGTTTACAAATAGGCAGTATGTACATGAGGAGGGAGAATCATATATACCAAGATGAACTTTGATAGGCCAAAAGTGCGACTTGAAAGGGACGACCAAACTTGGCTATTAAGTTTAGGTTAAATTTGGAAATCCTTTCACCTGCTACTCAAAACTAGCAATAGGTTGGAGACCCCTGATGTAGACCTTAGAAAGCTAGACATTAATCCTAAATACAGAAATGTTCATGATAAAGAAGAGGTTGTAACTGGTCTAAAATACCTGCAGAATAGTGAAGTTCTCAAGCACACTGTTCATCATGTATTTCTCTGGCAGATGTTTGAGTTTGTGGATGAAGTTGATCATATATTCACACATAGGTGAGCGATGGATACGGAACATGTACTTTCCTCCTTCTAACCGAGCGTATTCGGTCTGTGGGGGAGGAAATAAAACACAACAGGGGTCACAACACAAATCTAAAGGTCTTTCTATGCATCAGGATCACAGTCGGGTCTCTCACCTCCACCTTCTCCACCACCTGCTTTCCAAAGGAGCAAACCTTGGTGGAGACACTGATGGTGATGTTTTCAGTCCCGCTGTACTGGCTGCTCACTCCGTAAAATGCGCCAGAGCCCTCCTCAATGTCACCGCTCAGATCCGCCTGAAACGAGAACATGACCCACCGAAGGAAAAGATTCAATCAAAGCTGCCAACCATAACATAGCAGGCAAAATTCTGATTTATTACTTTTTATTCATGCAAAACTGTTTAATTTTTACATCAGTTAAAAACATTGAAGAATGACTGACTGGTGCTATATGAGGTTATGTGACTTAGCCTGCCATTGACAGTCTATATGCACTAACCCAGAACTTGACGAGAAAGAACGCATTGTGAGGCCCCTTCTCATACAGCTCCTTCAAGCCTCCTTTCTTTTCCGAGAACTTGTCATAAATCTGTCTCACATCTATAGACTCCAAAACCGGGTCGCTGTAGCTGGGATTTGATGGTCCAATGTGAACGAAAAGGTGTTTATACTGCAGAAAGAAATGGTGAAGCAAGAAATAAGAGTAAAACAACATTTATTGGAGAGAAAAAACAAAACAATATATTATTAGAATCATTAAAGGTACCGTTTCTCTGTCTTTTTGATTCTCCATAAAAGCAGAGTACTCAAGTAGGCGTAGTTTTGCAGAAGCGATGGTTCTGTCTTGCCACACAGGTGCGGCGATGGCTGTAGGCCGAGGTGGCGGCAACGTTTCATAACCTGTTTTACATTGAAACATGTAAAGGTTTAATTAAGGAATTTCTACATATGTAGTAAATCACAGTTTGGGTTTGGAGGCTTACTGATGGGTGGAGGGACAGGCGCTGGTAATGTAGTGTATGGAGGCTGTGCAAAGGGCTTGATGCTAGAAAGTTGAAGAATTGAAAATGAGTTGCTAAAAAAGAACCGGAAAGAAAGATATTCGTTTTGAACCTTAAAGCTTGACTTACTCCTGAGAATGTCCAGGCTGTCCCGGTACAGGGCCAGGCCAGTACTGAGGAGCAAAGGAGAATAAAATCTAGTCAGAGATTTTAGACTTTACCAAAGAAAATGTAAATAAAAGAAATGTGTGTCTAGTTTTTGTTAAGGGTGCTCCAATCAGGAGATTTGGGACCAATCACGGTTACCGAGAGCCTGATCTACTGAAACAGATACCAAATAAAGCAGCCACGTTTATTTAACGCTATTTAAAATGTTAAAGTTTTAGTAAAAAAAAAAAAAAAACTGGATCTGATTGCTTACTGGCTGCTAAGCAGTCACTTAGAGGTTTTAACATTTCCCGGTTAGCTGGGATGCTAATGTTTACCTCCTTAGTGTCTCCAGGATTTTATTCTGTTTACTGAGCATTAAAGGCTCCACAGCTGTTCGGCTTCCATTTAGAGTAAAATAATACAATCCATTTATCATTTCAACCCCTTATGGTTAGGGAGCAGTGGGCAGCTTGCAGCACCCTCGGAGCATTGTAGGGTTAAGGGTCTTAGTCAGGGAGCTAGTCTGAAAAATCTTAAACCCACTTATGACACCAAAAAACTGAGGGCCACTGGTTAACTACACACAAATTTCCAGAATGCTACATCTGTTTTGCACCATTCAAAAACATTGGACCACCGTATGATTAACCAATCTGACCGTATTGTCTCTGTAAAACACCTTCAGATGACACGTGATGTGAATTTTATCTATTTGAATGAACTAAATTAAATTAATGGAAAAACTGAGGGATGGATAGACTCATATAGATAGATGTATGGAGTGCTTTGATAATGAGACAGGTGATCAAATGTAAATATTTTAGAAATGGAAAGACATACTTCTGCAGATATCCTGATTTTCACACAAAACTAAAAACTTTTATGAAATCTGTTGAAGGTGCAGAATTAATAGAAATATTCATAGTTACACTAGAGGGCAGCAAAAGTACTGTAGTGTACTTTTGCTGCCCTCTACTGGAGTCTACTCCCTTTTTAAATGACCTGCAGGGATTTTCTGATCAACAATTTGAGTGACCGCCAATAAAACGAGAAAGCGCCACATTTTTTGGCAGATAAAGAATGATGGCCTGTAACTGGAGCACCCTTAGTGTGTGTCTCACTCTGACTGGTGGAGGGAAGGGAGTCTGAGGTTTCATTACACTCGCTGACACAATCTGAGCAGATGAAAGGTTGGCCACTGTCTGGAGTGCCTTGTCTTTGGATACCTGATCCTAAACGAAAGAACGGACACACACAAAGTAACAAACAATGATAAAACCCCATCAGTTTTAATGAAGCTTAACACTCAGACAACTTTTAAGGCTCATTTTATACAGCAAGCCAGCCAACATTCATTTCAATTCAGAACAATGCAGTTACAACAAAAGACAAAGCATGAAAGACAGCAAAGCCGAGCTAAGAAAAAGCAAAGCGGGAGGCGCACCAAGCTGGAAGAGCTAACCATCACCGGCACTTAGCTAAAGCCACTAAAAACAAATCAAAAAGCAATGAATAGAGTTTTTGAGTATGGCAGGAGAGCTGCAATATGAACTAGCGGTAATATAACATAATGCCAACCACACAGCATAACAAAAGCCTGAAGCAGAGAACTGAAGTTATGTAACCAAAACTTACCAAGTTCATGGCCTATGGCAAAAAAGACATGTAATAAATTCAATTTAGTACACTTAAAAGATAGGGGACAGATGTTGGGCAATATAAAAACTCATTTGGGGCAGTTTTCACCCTGGGTTTCTGTTTTCTCCTCACATGCGCCTCTGAGTTGAAAACGCGTTCTATATAAATGCTTTATGTAGAAAATGAATAATAATAACAACCATAATATTATAAGAAACATTTTTTTGCCTTTTATCGAGTACCTCCATCAGAGCCTGCTCTTTGACTGATCTGGAGAGTGATTGTTCAAGTTTAAATTAATGTTCTAAAATTATGCTTGGAAAATGACAAAATATTCAGCTGGACACTAAACATGTAACAATTCATCTTTCCAGAAAACAAACATCCTGGAGCTAAATGATATTAATACAGTTCTGTTTTTAAAAAAGCAAGAAGTCAGTGCAAAATTATGATAAACAAAACTATACTAAAGGCTCAAGGGCCAAATAACAGGGAAGTAGAATGAAGAGGAAAATAAATTGAAGAACGGGAAGACAGATTATAATTGCATCCACTTTTGCTAGTGTAACTCTTAATGACAGGAATATTACAACTTTGCTCGTGTGTGTGTGTCTGCAGGCGTTGATGCACTTTATCGTACGCAGATAAACTAACCAAGCGAAGTAATCTCATGCAATTATTTGCCAAATACCACAGATATTCTGAACTGAACGAGCAGGTCGGCAAACTCTCATGCATAAACAAAAACCCTTAAACAAAAGTCATAATACCAGAAAAACACCAAATAAAAGGGGTTATTGTCTAAAGAAGTAGAAATAATAAATCTCAGCTACAGCCAGCAAGCAAACAAGACTTGTGATACAATTATCTTTTTTTGCAAATGCACATACAAAGCAGGACCTAACTTCTGCACCGTGAATGGATACAGAGCTCAAATTCAGGCTTTTACTTTCATGCAGCTAAAAGCAAAAGCAGCAAAAGCACAGCCACAGACCCTAAATGCATCAGACATGCAGCTACACATATTAGTTGATTATAATGAAACACAGAATGCATTCTAAGGGAAGAAAAATAACACATTTGCAAGAGGTGACCAGTGACAGTCCTTTAACTTTTAACTTTGAAGAATGACCAATCTGTTAGGTGCAGTTGGAACTTTAACAACCAACTGAAGAACAACAACACGCATTTTTATGCTCCAATATGATAAAACGGGTAAAGTTAGATTTGAGCCACATGCAGAGCAAAGCTGCTAGCACTGCAAAGTCAGTGAGCCTGTGTACCTTCAGTTTAGACTGAAATTCACGAGACTTTCTCTTGGCCAACACTTGCAGGTGACTAGAGACCTGAAGAAAGACAGCATGAGGGGGAAAGGATGGGAGGAAACAGGGAAAAGAAGGAAGGAGGACTGTAACTATAGAGTATAGGGAGAGTTGATGCAGGGAGAACCCACCTTGATGCTTGCCTGGTATTCACGTACCCTCTTACGAGCCAAAACTTGAATGTGACTAGATACCTTTGGGGTCAAGATTACCCCCATAAAAACAAAACGGAGGGTCTTTCAATTTAAAAACAACCAAGACAAACTACATCCATTAAAGCTAAACAAACAAAAAAGCATTCAATAAAATGGAGCTGAATTTCTAGATACATCTGGAAACAGGCAAATATGCAATTTGTACACAAGTATCAGTACATACCTGTTTGCGGGTACGCGTCTTCCCAGTTCGAAGCTTTATGTAGCGAGCTATCAGCTCATTTCGACCTAGAATTCACATAAGAAATATACCAATTAGGACCCTGAGCACAGTCTTCCCATTGGAATGAAGTAATTCAATCTTAGTGGTATACCATGTTTGACAATGCATGCAGTATATCAGGGTCTCCCCAACTGATTTGGGTGGTCAGAACAAAGGAAGTATATAAGACATGTGTCCAACTTGAGGCCCGTAGGCCGAATCAGGCCTATCATAATTTATCTGGACCTCAAACGCCATAAAAGCATAACTATGATAAAGTAGAGGCATAGGGTATTTTATAAGTGGCTAAAACAGTGAAATAAAGGTGAATTCAGTTATAATACCAGAGCAGGAGTCTGTTTGTGAACTAATCTTGTTCTTTGTGATATGTCAAGATGTTTGTTTGAATAAGTCAATTTCTGTAATAATTGTTGACATTGAATAATTGATTGTATCTGTTACACAGACCATGAAGCTTATAAAGATGTGGAAGAAAACATAGAAAGAAAATATCATAGAACAATGTATTTTCATTAAATACTTACTAATATTTTTTAAAGCCAATAGTCACACATTTAGAAATAAGCATGAAGCATTTCTTTTTCAAATTGTCTTTGTGTGTGCGAGAGACATTTTTTTTTAACTCTCTTTTTAAAAAAAAAAAAAAAAAAAAAAAAGGCTTTACATATCTGCGGCTTTATAATACTCCCATAAAAACAAAAACTATGATCCTGGCCTGGCCGTCCTTGCTTGCAGAATTTCAAAACAAATGACAAATAGGATGTTTGACTGGCAGAATAAAAACAGTGGGGTTATCTGCCTGGGGTTACTTTATTCTTCCTGTTCACTGCTTTCTTCCTCTGCCTCACAAGCTACTAATCAGGCCTGATGATTTGCTCGTCTTTGACCGTAACTGGTGAGCCACACAGGGGAGTTTGACTGGAGGTATGATGGTTAATCACGTCTATGTTGCAACACAGTCAGCAATCCCATTGCCTTTCCAGGAAGTGGCCGAGCCCCTCAGGGACTCAGATGAGTCACATCAGTTAAGTTAGCACAACATAAAATTCCCCCAAAACCCACAAAAAAATAGAGGCCGACTCAAACAAAGCAGACCACTCCACCTCCCCAAACAAGGGGACACAAACCATCTGCTGCCTGCAACTAGTCCACATAAGGCACATAACTGTTGATTGTACAACTGGAGAGTGAGAAGACTGGGGTGTAAAATCTAAGTCCCTATGTTAGCTATCAAATCCAGTTTTAGAAACTAAGAGGAACCCCACAATGTTGAGTTTTTCCCCCCAAATACTACTCTTAAGACACGCTTCATCCGACACTGGGCCGGCACTAAAAAAAAAAAAAAAACACCAGCAGAAATAAGATTTATACATGTGAAACCTGATGGGGCTGTATAAAAGAGGTAGAGTGATATTTTTGGTGAAAGGGTGCAAAGACCTTTAATTTGAAGTAGATTTAGTGAGATAAGATATAGTGAAAAATGTAGAGGAGCTGATGAAGACATGACGGGATGATGTCACCAGATGAGGCATCTCTATTCAATCATCTGTAGCATGCTAATCACTTAGCATTACTGTATAGCATGATGATTACACAGCAGAAGGCCTGCTGGCTCAGCAATATTTGCTTGGACTGGGTATCAGTCTGTTAGCCACACAAAGATTTTCTAAGGAGTCCTAATTTTTAGGTGGAAAAATAATTCATCGGTTAATTCTGTATGGAGCTAAATCGGTCTTAATTTTCACAAATACACACATATGATTCACACGTGCACAGGACAAGCTTCACACACACAGCAAGATTCACGTAAGCATACAAGATTCAGACATGCACAGCACATGATTCGATGATTTCTGGTCCATAAACAATTATAAATTAATTTACAAAGTACCAGCGGTCTTAAACTTCACTGCATTTGTGTGTTGATTTTTCAGACTCTCCTCACGCACCTCGATACACAAATGCATTTTTTTATACAGAGGATGGTTTGCAACCAATCATCGAGCTCCCTTGTATACGCCACTTACAAGAAAGTACTCCACATGGAATTAAAATTTGCTCCGCTCTGGTCCGGTGTTCCTTCAGCTCAGCATACCACGTCAGGCCAGCATACCCTTAGTAATAGGGATTACATAGAGTTTCCTCTGTCTCCGCTCTCCTTACATCCAAGCGCTCTGTTTTATTTTCGCAATTTAGTCAGGTTTTTGTGGTAGTTTGTGTATAAAACAAAAAAAAAAGTTTCTTAAAAATCCAGTACCTCTGTGAATTGAAAATTGTGTTTTGTTAAATTGCGATTATATTGCAAATGTAATTAATTTCCTAACCCTAACTGGTTTAATGTGTTTCTTACAGGACACATCATTCAAATACAAAAATCTAAAGCAGACCAAAATGCCAGCAGATTCATGGTCACCCAACAGTGGAGGGAGTCCCAAATGGAAATCAAAGCTTTTAATAAAACATGATGCAAAATTTTATTACAAAAGATAATTGAAAATGCACATCCAATAAAAATGAATACAGAGCAGTGTGAAGTAATACTTAAGCTACCAGTGCACAAAACAAAATGTTAACTGTGTTTTGACTCATGTCATCTTACTCGGCTGTCCTCTGACCCCCCGAGCGCAGAAGTCAAATCTAAAAAAAACCTGCAGGATAATCGCTAGTTAAACTACAATGTCAGCAAGAAGGGCTGATAACAAACAAGGCTCTGAAGTGATCATCTAATGACACTTCAATCTTATGTTCTGTTTTTGATCAATATGGCCCCTTCTGGAAGGGAGGGAGCAGAAAACATAAACAAACAGGGTCTAAAATTGGAACATGCAGGAATCCAAGGAAAGGTCAGTTTTGGATGACTAATTAAAAATAGCCAGGCACTTTGTTTTAAACTCCTTTTTATTCAGCATTTTAGCTTCAAATCTTCAACAACTTGCTAAAAACAACTTTGATACGAAAGACTCAACAAAGCTATTTAGAAGGAAATGAAGGGCAGACTTAACTTTGTTAAACGTAGCCAAAACTTCACATTCTGCCTCCCAGAATACCAGATGCATTAATATTAAATGCAGACCTATACAGAAACGGGGAACACCCCTGATCTAACAACTATCAACGCCACCCACAAGGATGATAATCCCTGGTTCCCACTGCAATATTATTGTTCAGGTTGTTCCCTCAATCTTTTACCATCCTCCAATATTTGGGGACGCCTTGATCATCATGATATTCCTGTTTTTTTTTTTAAATTAGGATGCAGTTAGTTCAGAAAGACATATGTACCACCCTGACTTCAAATCAGGGATATTTGACATTATGGATTTTTTTGGCCTGATATCCTAGGGTCTTGTGGCTGCACACTGTAAGATCAAACATGTTCCAACTATTTTATTCAATCCAATGTGTGGGATCTGTCAGGATTTTAAAGTCGACCGACAGTCTTAATGTGTGCAACCGGAATACGCCTTTATTCAAGCTATTTGGTGGAAAAAACAGAGCACAAGTAATGGAGATAACTTCAGCTACTGTGAGGCAAGCAGAGTCAACACATTTGGAGGGATAAATAATAATTGGACTGCAGCTAGAGCTGCATAGCTTTAAGAAGCAACCCACATACAAATATCTAGGATATGGCGGAAATATTTGTGTTAAGCCACAACTGAACCACACATCAGAAGGCTAACATGGGCTAGTGACAAAAAATAAAAATGTTTTCAAAAAGTTCCAGTTGAACTAAAGGTCTCAGACTCCATAGGAAGAATGGAAAGTACTGAGAAGTTACCGGGGGTCCAGGGTAAAGTTTCCAGTCAATGAGGATTTATGGAGCAACGTTATCTGTCGCCGTTGGGCCAATAAGTTTTACTGGCTCAAAAGTCAATGCAGCAGCCTACCAGGATGTTTCTGCGCAACCCATGCTTCCCTTTACTGATAAGAGATTCCGATTTCATCCTCCAGCAGAATGGGGTCTCTACCCCTAGTGATGAGGGTTTTGGACCCCTATAGAAACATCTCAACTAAGAGAGCTGGCTCTTTAGGTTAAAAATTTATACTTCAAATTTCTTGGTTACTTTAAATGATTTGATGAAGGTGATACATTAAATGTAAGGTGTTACGAGGAACTATGTTTGACCCACTAGATGACGTTGAACTGCACCCATTCATTGTAACAGCAGCCTTTTTCATGGTTTTGCAGCACTCGCTACACCCATTGTTAAATAGTAAACAGTGTCTATAACTCCACGCCTTTGCTTAGCAGAGACAGACACGACGCCACGTATATATTGACCAAACACACATTGAAGAGAAAAGAAAGTGATCGAAACGGTTACTTCGTAGAGTCTCTCATGGATGTAGTTTGTGACCACACTGCCACAGGTACAGATACCCGCTTTATTAACATTGGTATTAATGTGACTGATTGGCCTGCAAACTACCCAGTCGACACCTACTAGGTGTTACCAAACATTCAATATCAGTGAATATCAATTTTTTTCAATAATTGCGATATGATGTTTGGAGATTTCTACACAGTCTGATTTACAGCATTTGTCAATGACTGGGGATTTGATGCGTCTTTATTTGTTTTATAAGCTGGTGCTTTTTAACTTTTGCTATTAAAATGGGTAAATAAATTTGACCATCTCCTTTAGCCCTGATTAGCGAGCGCTGATTAAATGATGCAGACGAGCAACGTGCCAATTAAAGCAGTGCTGGCATTAACTTATCAGGAACCGCGTTACAAAGGCAGCAGTATCAGCAGAAACCAAGACCAGCTGAGAGTTACGGGCCCTCCAGTGTGTCCTGGACCTCCTCCTGCCTTGACCTGCCTGGAACAAATCCTGAAGGAGTATCAAGGGAGCAAACAACACCAGATGCAAAGGAAGCTGATTTCAGCCGCTTCTATCCTGGATCTCGTTCTTTTCATCGACTCATATTTTATGACCTGGTCTGAGTTAATAGTAGATTTGTGTTTTAATTGGTCCCATGTGCAGAGTTCATGTAAGTTTTTCATGCTCAACTTCATTTACTTTTGAAGAACTTTCAAGGACAGTTTTCAAGCTGATCCAGTACCTTAACTAGTGGTGTGTCAATCAATCGGTCATCGATCATAATCAGCTGGTTTTCATTAACAGGTTTGTGATCAGCGATCACCGTCTTTTGTTACCAATCACTAAAGCTGATCAGCAGTATTTGTTACTTTGCAGGCTGTACAGGCTCAGCCTGCAGCATCTCACCCTCGCTCCTTTACACTGTGCAGCGCAGAAGCAAATCCTAAGAACTGTCATGAGGTACTTTTGTGCTTTGGGAATAAAGTGAAGTTTGCATCTAGCAATGGAAAAATTCCTCAGAGGTGAGGCGCATCAAAACGCATCAATACACTGAATACAACAGATTTGAAACAAGCAGTAGACAGAGTATGATGAGCTCACTGCGAGAAAAAAAAAATGAGAAAAAAAAAATGCAGGTAAAGCGATTCACAATTATCTACACTCTCCTCCATGAACATGATAATCAGTAAAACAAAAACAACCCCCAACATGATTTATTTAATCATGTAAAGGACCAGCAGTGAAAGACTTTGGGCTCCACTGACGGCTCTCACCATTGAATCGTTCTACTGGGGGGTCCGTTCAGTTCCACCGAACAGTGAAGTCTCACAGTAAATGTCTTCTTAATCTTTGTATCTTACAAAAATCCATTTTAATATATGTAATAAGACTTTTTTATGTCCTAACATGATGAATCTGGGGGAGTCAAGCCCCTCCGCTTCTTCCATCAGAACCAGGATATGTTTGGTGTTTCACTCACTGTTTGACACAGGTACCAAAACGCCACAGCAGAGTTTGCCCATCCATAAAACAATCAGTTTTATTTACCAACTTCTGATTGTTGATTTGATTGCAATCTGAATTCGACTTTGGAAATTAATTTTTACTTGACAGATTTTTGCCCCGTCACAGCAGGCACTTGAGTCACAATACAGATGGGTCCCAGATTTTGTCATAACACCGACTTCTCTCCCGACGCAGAGGATGCAAATTGTGGTGGAGAAAACTCGGTTGGCACACCTTGTCAGAATCACACACGCCTACACATCTATAGCAGTGCTTCTATGTCAAGCATGCCTAGCATGTATCTAGCGGTTGTTATACATTCAAAGAAAACCTGTATAGCTAATGTTGTAGCCAGTGCCTGTGTGACTTACTATTCACTATGACTACAGAGTTCAAACTCCACATGCAAAAAGAGCAAAATATTTTCTGCATATTTGCGTTTTGCCAAATGTTGGTTTGCTCAATTTTTATATTTTCCAGCCACATTTGATTAAAATGAAATCCTCCCAACATGGTCGATCAACGTTTCGTCCACGTGGGAGCTATGTCGTCATGACAACAGAGTAGCACATCACTGAGACGAAACGTGGCATAAGGCTACGCCATAAATATTTTTTATTTCGCTATTTTATTTCTCTCTTTAAAGTAAAATATGCATCGTTACAATATCAAACATTTACAAGCACCAGACTGAAAATTCAGGCATTGTTTTAAACCTTAAAACACAACATTAAAATTAAGCATTTTCAATGATTTATGAACCCTGTATGTGATATTCAGATCATAAATTTGGTCATAATCATCTATATTAATAGCAATGAACGTTTAAAATATATCTGTTACTGACTAAAGAACTTAACATACTAGTTTGTCCAAAACCTGCCAGTTGTTCACTGTTTCAGAATATTCAAGTAACCCAGATTGAGGAATACCATTCTCAAGAATTGGCATAGGAGATTCTAACGTATCTAATAAACTTATGATTAAAGGAGTTAAAGAAAGCTGGCCATTGATAGTCATCCAAGGACAGAAGATTTCTCACCATACATCTTGCCCTCATCTGAAAGTATGATCTTTCTCCTCCCACATGGAGGGTAGATGGCCAACGCCTCTTGAAAGCTCTGCTCGATGTCTGGACTCCACACTCCTTCAGGGTCACCGTCCAATCCACGGTCAGCCCCATCAGCCAGTCCCTCTCCATTACCGCTCTCCTCCTGCGCCCCATCAGGGCTGCTTCGGCAACTCCACTCCGACGCAATGATGACGGTTCCAGCAACACCCTCACCTACAACAGATGAAATACAAAGTGAGCTTTCCTGCAGGGCTTCCTGGGAAAAATGGGCAGAAGATCTGTTAATAAGATCTGCTTGATTTTGAATGAGGGTTGCAAATGACTTTATGATTACTGTGCATTTAAAGCCTAATTATGCTATAAACAGCAGTAACAAAAATAGAATAAATAAGTATCTTCCACATTTAAAAACATTACAGAGTACGCCACAATACCAGACGGCGAAAAAAGACAGTAATTTGTGTTTTGAGATAAATTAGACTAAAAGGCACTACAATCAGGAAGGTTTACAGAAATAGAAGAAATACTGTACACAAACTAAAAATAAATCTGAAAATACAAACTTCACTGTGGAAACGCTGGCTTTCATTTACAAAACTCAGGGTAAAGGTTGGAGTTGAGATTTTACAAGGAACATTCACACACATGTGAAACTATGTAAAACCAGCTTTGTTACAGATAAACTTAATATAGTTCAAAATGTGAACTCTGCATTAATGGGTTTTTAAACAGGATGTGATACTGCTTTGCTACGAATAATTAATCCTTCCTGTTAACATCAATAATTATTGATTCAGCATGCGGACAAGTATATGAAAATTAACACTTTGAACAATGCCCGTATCTATTGTCATATATTATAGTTCTTAAAATTGAAACTGAATAGGACAAAGGAAAGCTTGGACTAATAAAATGTTAAAAATCTATGGAAGAGGATTAAGGCAACAGGGAAGAAAAAGTCAACTTATTTTTCATTTTAATATAACACAATTTTGACTTTAATCAAAGGATTTTGACTTTAACCCCAGAATTCTTATTTTAATCTCAGAATTTTCACCTTTTCTCCCAAGATTCTGATTTAAATCTCAGAATTTTCACCTTTTCTCCCAAGATTCTGATTTTAATCTCAGAATCCTCCAAGGATTCTGACTTTTTCTCCTGGGATTCTGGCTTTAATCAAAGGATTCTGACTTCAAACTTAGAATTCTGACCTTTTCTCCCAAGATTCTGATTTTAGTCTCAGAATCCTCCCAGGATTCTGATTTTATTCTCAGAATTAAAGGCAACAGGAAAAAAAGTCAACTTATTTGTCATTTTAATATAACAGAATAATGACTTTAATCAAAGAATTCTGACTTTAACCCCCGTATTAAACCGAAATAAAATTAAAAAATGAGTTGACGTGACTATTTTTTCAGAGGCCCACATCCTCTTCCGTAAAGATCCCAAGATGGGAAATCAGTCTCAAACCCTGTATTTTTATAATATCCTCTTAAGAGTGTGTTAGGGCTCTACGTGTTAAATAGTAAGATAGTAAGAATAGAAATATTCTTTATTTTCTCTCAGTGGTGTAAGAGCAGCAAAGGGTAAAAGGCAGAATGGATGCAAACAGATTCCCACAAGTCAAACATCGAAAAGAAAAAAGGTACATTTCCAGCACTGGAAAGAAAACACTAGTAATTAAAAATACCATGCTCGCATTCAATGAAGTGTTATACCAAGTAAGATTATAAAAATAAAAAGATTGTTCATTTGTGAACAAAAAAATTACAAGAAATAAAAAGTGTGCAAAAAATTATAGGGGTGTAAATATTAAACTTAGTTGACCAATTTTGTTCATTTTTACATATACAAAATATCACAACAGCTGATCATCCTAAACACTGTGTCATGTAAACATGAAAATTAGCTCATTCTGTTAGCATCTAGCCACTCAAAGCCGGAACACGTCACCTTTGTGTGTGTGTGCATTTTACCAGGCTACTCAAATATATCCATATATCCATATTTAACGCCTGGATTTCTAATATATTGCAGCCTGAGTAGATTTCTGAACTCTTATGCCTCTTCATTATCAGAAATTTCTAAAGACAACTAAAATAGGAATCTGCCAAAAAAATAAAAAATAAAATATGGATCCTCCTTGATGAGCTCCTTGGTTGAGATCAAATATTACAAATGTTGGAGGTTTTGTAAATTACAGGATACTTAGATTTTTCTATCTAAACTAGATTTCAAAATAAGACCAACTGCAAGGTTGCTGAAATGCATGACAAATGCCTTGCAACCAGAAATATGATTAAACTTAGCAGAGTAGTATCAGTTTCATCTAAAATTGTTTTCCATTTCCATTGTGAGCACTAACAGAGCTAAGCATTCAGACTCAAAGACAGCAGCTAATGAATTGTAGTATAACTTCTCAATAATGTTTAACTTTATTATTTCAAGCTTACAGATGCACTAATAAGGTCTTCAAACTCAGAGTTAACTGATCTGGCCAGAAGAAAAAACAAATGCTACTTAAACCTGCATATACATACTAACAAAACCTGTTGTTTTGTTTATCTACTCATCTAACTTAAAGACGTGCCCCAAAGTTAGTAACCTTTGCATTTAAAAGAAAATAAAGGCTGTCATTGTTATGGATGACCCCCATTTTCTTTGAACACAGACACACATTCACAATGTGAAAGCTCCCTGATGTGTAATGTTTTCCAGATTGTGGCAAAAATGATCCCAACCACACAACAACCACAGAGCATTAGTGTGGTCTCTGAACTTCCCTGCTGTGGTGGGCCTATACTGTACACTGTGCTTACAAGTCTTCCCAGATTCAGTTACTGCTGAAAGGGTTGAACATTTTCCACAGCGATCAGACAAACTTGGAATCTTGAAAAGAAAATATATTTAAACCTCTATGGTGCTGTATGGTATCTGCTCAGATGTTTCATAGAGCAAAATGACTGCTGGTCTAATATTAAGTTTACTGTAGCAGTGGATCAGCTTGGCATCAACATCTGCAATGCTTTATAAAGAAAAATACACAGTCACACACTAGGAGTGTCTAGTTTATTTAATCCATTGGTCAATAGTAAAAGGGTTGTTTTTATACCTATTGGTGTTGACTATTGTTCTCTATTTGAGTATTATAACTTGATAAAGCTTTTTCTAATATTTATCCATTTTCCTTCATGCTATCCTTGCTGGGATCTCGAGGGGTGCTGATCTCCAGCTGTCAATGGGTGAGAGGCGGGATACATCCTGGACAGGTCGCCAGTCCATCGCAGGGCAACACAGAGACAAACAGGACAAACCTTTTACACTCACACCTAAGGAGAAGTTAGAGAAGCCAATTAACCTAACAGTCATGTTTTTAAGAACGGGGAAAGAAACCGGAAGAACCGGAAAAAAACCAACCAAGCAAAAGGAAAAAAAGCAAAACCCAAGCAAGAAAAACCCGGGCCGGGAAAACAAATCCGAAACTTCCTAACGCAAACCAACAAGGCCAACCAACGCCCCAACGAGCAACCCCCCTTTTCCAAAAAGCCAAAACAAAAAAATAATCAAAATATATGTGGTTTGGACCGATAGCCCATCAGGGAAATATCAAAATGGATCAACTTTAATTTTACGGATTGGTACTCAAAGCTGCAATATTGATATATCAAGATTAAAATCATTATATTGTGAAACCCCTAAAACATAAATAAAAGAAATTAAAATGGTAGAGTGTTACTGTTTGGTTTTTGAGTTTACTGGATAATAATGAAAAAAAAAACTACAGTAATATGCAGTTCCTTGTCTGCTGCTCTTAAAAAAAACAAAAACAAAAAAAACGTAACTAATGATTATTTTGCAAATCAGTTAATCCTTCGATTCTTTTTTCAATTAATAATTGGACAGCCTAAGGTTCCTTAAAGATGTTTTTAACAGAATTAAACCAGGTGAAACTAAAACCTTTCCACTTGAGGATTTCTGGATACAGCATATTGACAGTTGATATTTTCTCTTTATCTTAAATACAAAATGATTTTTTTCCCCTCACAATTTTGATATAATTAATGTTCTAAGTGGGTTGCTCTGTCAGCTTAAGGCATGTTTTACAGTCTCCACCTTATCAGTTCAGTTCAGTAGCTTTTTTTTTTGTCCCAGTATGGGCAATAGATTAGTTGACAATTATTTAAATAATCCATTAATCATGATTAAACCGATTGTTTCAGCCCCAAAAAAAGACGCCAACTTCTTTACTTGTATTCCAACAAATCAAACATCCAGTGATCAACATCTGGAAAATATTTATAACTCCTTTCTAGAGATCAGCAGCCCAGTCGTTTTCCCCTGTTGATTAATTAATGTTTTTCTGGCTTAAACCAAAAACATTATTATGGTTGATATCAGGAGTGTCGTGATACAACTTTTTAATGTCCAATACCGATATTGTAGCTGAAAATATTGATCGATACAGACATTGACCTGATATAAATATTGGCATGAATCCTACATAATTTTGCTTATTTTACAGTTTGGAATGATAGAAAAGGTTTTATCAAGTGTTATTTTTCAGACTAAAATAAACTTTGAACAAAGCAGATCGAAGCAAAGTGATTCTATGAGCTTTCTAATATCTGCGATTTTTAGAGGTAAGGCTTTATAAACTGATATTCAATTTTTGGCAGATATGGCAACAATCTCTGATATCAATATTGGATTGCCAGACATCTCCAGTTTTTATATTAATCATGCTAATATTACTTTAATAAGAAGATCTTCAATAGGGGATGTGCAACCCCTAGGGGATCCACCGAGGTACTGCATGGGGGTTGTGAAAGTTTTGGTTGATTATACTTTTAATTTTATTTTTTATAATTCCCTTGAATTTTTTTCCACTAACTGAAATGTCTTTAAATCCACATTAACATGAGTTCAACACCCTGTAGTAAACAGATAAATGGAGGCAGAAGATGTCCTTCAGTCATCAATGCACACATTCAGCGACACACAGGAGCTCGTTCAAGCTGGGCACCGTTTCATTCACAACACCTGTCCCATCAGCTAGGAAACAGAATCAGAAATACTTTAATAATCCCAGGGAGAAATTACTTTTGTTACATGACACCACCTGTAATAGAGTGACTATAGGACCAGTTTGATATAACACAATTTCACACCATATATATATAATTAAGGGGTCCCCGCTCCATGTTGTCATTAGTTTTGGGGGTCTATAGCCTGGAAAATGTTGAAGGCCCCTGCTTTAATAAGTTAACATGGTATTTAAGTTTAACGTAATATAGTGAGCATTTAAACGTGTATCATATTTCATCAGAGCTAGATTGCAAAGCAGTTAATTCATATTGATTTGATCAAACCTTATTACAATGTTGAGATTGACTAATCATTCAGTCAGTCAATTCCATTGATTTTACTGATCAATGACTAACTGGTTAAATGTTTTGTTTTTGTTTTTTTTTCCAGACAAATAACCATATAACCAAAAATAAGAGTTAACCTTTTTTGGTTCAGTCATCAACAAATAAAAAAAAAATCAGATTTCCTTTTAATTAAAAAATGCCCACCTTTGTAAAATAATCAAACAAAAAGGTTCCTGTTGTGATTTAATCCTAATGGTAGATCAGGCTTCAAAGGGAACCAATAATGGGAATTGGCCGGAAAAGAAAGAGGAATCGGTGCTTTACAAACACTAGGCTGTCAGGGCATTATGGGCAGGAGGTTCATGCGGTTGCGTCGTTTTCATTTTAGCTCCTAGTGGCCAAAAGGTCAGCTGTTCAGTAAAGCACTGAGCTAAATAAAACTATGAGCTCAGCAAACTGTGAAAGGACACATGCTGCCTTCTGCACCAATGGAGGCAGCAAGGGACATGATTACCCAAGCTCTGTTTCATCACTCATTTAATCTGCAACTTCAATTCACGGCCCAAAAAAGAAAAAACATTTAAAGAATCTCATAAAGCCGATATATAGCAGAAATCCCCCCCTAGGAATCAGAAATGAAGCCGTAAAGTATAAACAAGGCGTAGTTTCTTTTGAGGCTTCCTACCGACTAATAGCGAAACTTTTCCAACAAGAGTAGCTAGCATGGAGGAAAATAAAGCCGTTTAGTTAAATGCGAGTTGACAAAACTCAACAAAAAAACATATTCTACCAAAAATGCTGAAAAACAAACAACAAAAAAAGCCACGGTGTCGTTAACGTCACTGTTAGTTTCTTATTAGATGAGCTAAAGTTGCTAACTCTTTAGAACTGCTATGCTAACGTGTTAGCTTGGGGGCTAATCAAACCGTAACAAACTACAAACACAATCCAGAAGATGTAGAAAAGTAATCGGTTATATCACTCTTAGATAACTACATAAAACAACTACTGTCTGCTGAACAGTCGGCGGTCTGATTCAGCAAGTACTCGGCGGGAAAAATGCAAAATATGCCAAATATCCCAAAACTTCCAGCATACACGTAGCGAAGCAGCAGCGGCGGCATGAAAAAGTTGCAGCACAACAAAGAAGGAGATCTGGGAGCTGCTCTCACCTCACAACGGCTTCCCCGCTCCGCTTTTACTGGGACCAACTTCCCTCAGACGAACCAGCTTCTACAAAAACATAGCTCCGAAATTAAACGATAAAAAACAGACCTTGACAGAAGTAAATTTTTAAAAAAGTAGGATGTAAATTAGAAATTTGGTATGAAATCAGCGCTCGGGAAGAAAAAACGCGCAGAGGCGTGGCGACGAAACACACGACAAGCAAAAGTTTTGTGGCTTCCAGCGCAAACTCCTCCCATCGCGGAATGGGAGACTCCTGATTATAGAAGAAGAAACACAGGCATTAAAGGCGAGTTTATACTCAATAAACCCGCTGCTTGAATTCATCTGAGAAGGAAAACCTATTATACAAATTAACTTTGATGGCGGAGCTTAAAGGAGGGAAAGATGGGGTGATATGGAATAAATTATGGCAGGGAAGAGTGAAGGACACCATGAAAGAAAGGAGGGACACAAATAGGCCGGATAAGATATCAAAGTAAGGGCAAATGGAAGAAAGAAGGGAAAAGTGGGGAGAAAAAGAGGGGGAGGGGATAAGGAATGAAGAAGGAAAGGTGGGAGGGAGGAGGCATAAAAGGAAGGATAGAAGGAAGACATTTAAATAATAGAGTAAGAAAAAAAAATCTTGTTAGAATTTTTCTTTTTTTTACAGTTTAAAATCAAGAATTATTCAAGTCAAAATTTTTTCTTGTTTTACTTTTTTCTGTATCCAGTGTGTAATATATATGGAAGAGGATTGGGGCCACTGAAAAAAAAGTTAACTGATTTTTAAATTTTATTTCAGTTTAATATGGCGAAAAAAGTCAAAATTTGGAGAAAAAAGTCAGAAATCTGAGATTAAAGTCAGAATTCTGAAAAGAAAAGTCAGAAATCACACAAAAAAGTCAGGATTCTGAGAAGAAAAGTCAGAAATCTGAGATTAAAGTCAGAATTCTGAGTAGAACAGTCTAAATTCTAAGATAAAAGGGACAATTCTGAGAAAAAAGTCAGAAATCTGAGAATAAATCAGAATGCTGAGATTACAGTCAGAAATCTGAGGAAAAGTCAGAATTCTGAGATGAAAAGTCAGAAATCGGAGAAAAAAGTCAAAAATCACACAAAAAGTCAGAATTCCTAGATTAAAGTCAAAATTCTGAGAAAAAAGTCAGAAATCTGAGAATAAATCAGAATGCTGAGATTACAGTCAGAAATCTGAGGAAAAGTCAGAATTCTGCAAAAAGTCAGAACTCTGAGGGAAAAAAAAGTCAGAAATCGGATAAAAGTCAGAATTCTGAGAAGAAAAGTCACAATTCTGAGAAAAAAGTCAGAAATCTACAAAAAGTCAGAACTCTGAGGGAAAAAAAGTCAGAAATCGGATAAAAAAGTCAGAATTCTGAGAAGAAAAGTCAGAAATTGGTCAAAAACGTCAGAAATTGGTCAAAAAAGTCAGAATTCAGAGAAAAAAGTCAGAATTCTGTGAATACAGTCAGAAATCTGAGGAAAAAGTCAGAAGTCTGAGAAAAAAAGCCAGAATTCTGATATTAAACTAAATTTTTTTAATATTAATATTAAATTGAAGCTTAAAAATCAGTTAACTTTTTTTTATTTTTTCAGTGGCCCTAACCCTCTTCCGTAGATAGACACTAAGTGGGCCCTAGAAACATTTTCCACTTCAATCCTTCCGTGTGACCTTCACTCTCCCCTTTCTATACCATCTTCTCTTTCTGTTTTTCTTTCCTTGTGTCCTACATCCTTTCCTAAAGTTTTAATCATGATGGCGGGAAGGAGCCAAGTTTAAGCCTCACAGGTTTTACATTATTTTGTTAAGAATTATTTGCAAAAAAGACCAAATCTATAAACACATGCTTTGGCTGTCAACATAAGTAGAAATGTGTGAAGATTTAATTTAATCAATATCTGTACTTTGAACTTATCAATGGTAATTCTGTTTTTAAATGGTTTAGGGCATGTGTACTATATTGGCAGTTTCCCGATAAACAACTTAAATTTTGAAATTGATATAAGTAAGAAATCAAGTGCTCTCAGGGGGGCCTCTGAGATATGCAGCTCTAAGCTGCTTCTTGGTTTGCTTCTACCTTTAGTCACCAGAACATTTATATTTATTGTCATTTTTAGATTTCTATGTTTCAAATGTCTCCACTGAGAACAAAGTAAAATGAAAGTCCAATTTCTTCAATGCAAAATTATCTAAAGATAAATGATAATTTCTTAAATTAAGTCTGTTTGCTCTTAATCTGAGCAGGTAAATAAGATGTGTTTCCAATGGAAATAGCATTTTTGCCCTTAGAGTAAGAGAATGAGATATTATGCACTTGAAATAAGACAATGCAGCTTTTTTTCCTTATTTTAAATGTAGGCGTTCATATTCCATTAGCAAAGAGTCAGTTATTTTAAGGAAAACTGACCTACCTAGGTTTCTTATTTTTGTACTTTTGCTTATGTGGACAACACTTATATAAATAAAGCTGATTCTAATCATTCTGATTCTGACAGAAGGGTGTGAATACATTTATCAATGACATGCACTTACAACACAGTTACACTTTTTTTGTGCAAAATTTTAAAAATTCTTCCACAGTTAAGAAACACTTATTGTTGGCAAACCAAAGGACTGAAACTAACTTGATTCTGCTGGTGTCTGACATGTGGAAACATGTCTGAAACTGAACCTGCCTTTACAAACGTTTCCCATATAGTAAGGTTCGCTAGACTTTTTTTCTTTCTTTCTCTTTTTTGTCTTTGAAGCCCCAAGACATACTTAATTAGGTTCTAAGTATTTGTTTAAAACATGCCAAGTTCATTTCCCGGCAAGGCACAAGAATAAGTTGAAGCCTGTCTTCTAGTATGTCAAACTTGTTAACTTGCTTTGAAAATGTCTGAAAGACTTTTTGGAAGATAACTTCTAATGTAACGTCAGTTAAACTTCTCTTTTAGACATAAAGATAAAAATAAAGATAAAAGTGGAACTGTTGTGCTTCTTCACCTCCTTATATCTTGGCGTAGCTCTTTCCCTTCTTGCTAAGTACCTAATTTGGTTAACATGTTCGATCATTTGCTGACAATACTGCAATGCTATTCATAATAAAATTAAATACATTTATTTGAAACTTATAAAATCACAAAGAGAATTCATCCTAACCTAATAGATAACATAATTTGTTGACCAGTTTCTTATGGTGGTTCTATAGAGCTACACTGAAATCTTCCTAAACATTGCAATTGTAGTTTGTTCTTGTTTTAATGTTTTTAAAGAAAAGGTAAATTATAATTGTGGTTTAAAGATGCATTCTATTAAATTTTTAACAGACACAATTTACACTCTGGAACTTGAATTTAAGGATGGACGTGTTGAAAATTACAAGCTGTATTTAGAAACCTCAGCCACTAGGTGGCAGACTCGAGCTTTCAACAAGCACGTGGCCGATAGCCACCAGGGCCGCAAACGTGAATGTGTCTAATGAAAAAAAACAAGAAGCATGTTTCATGTGTTTGCAGGTAACTTCTTACTTACGGGAATTGCGTTAATGTGCATTTTGAACGGCTCATACCAAAACTTACCAAAGAATTTTCGTTTTTTAGTATTCAGGGAACTTGACAGAAATCATGGCTTTTGCTTTATTTCCTCATAGGCATCAAACCAGCTGTGAAAGGTAAGTGCAAGGTAAGTACATGGTGGTAATTTGGGTTCAAATATTTAGGTTCTTTATTTAGAAATATCAATAGTTAATAGAAATATAGGCTATTAACATTTATGGCCTGATTGTGAAAAATTAACTAATGTCTTGAATGTCTCTATGTTTATAGCTTTAAACTAATTAGCATTTTCTTTTATTCTTACTATTGTAGTCTATTTCTTTATTCTGTAAACTATGTCAAACCTTTCTCTTATTGGAGAAACTTGGAAGTTATAACTTATTAAGTAATTAACTTATTAAATTGTTATTTTTTTGTTCTTATTTGTCCACACTAATCCTGGATATATGTAAATATTCAGGTGATTATTATCAACCTTATTTTTCTTAAAATAACAAGTTAACCTAGTTTGCATGTGTCATTCTAACGAGCTATGACTGTACCTTTTGGCAAACATCTGATGGTCATAAAGTCGTATAATTTGACAATGTGTAAAATATTATGAAATATAAATCCATATGATTAAACTATCAAGTTATACCTAATGGGAATTACCATGCTATTTGATTTCTTTTTTCTTTATTTCCTTTTTCATATTTTGCATTGTTTTAAATTATATGATCCTACATTCTCCTATGTTTTTGGTTTTGTAATTCTATACAGAGTTAACATGCATGACACCGACTGTGACTAATGTACACATTCTACTGGAATGTACATAATTTAATATAAATCCATCTATAGGATTAGGTTGTACTTATCTGACCATTCATTTCTGGATATACAGTGAACCTATCTGTTTTTGGAAATTTGAGCTATTGTATGCATACAAAAATGTATTTAATTGAGACAGTTGTAGATTACCCTGAGAAATATAAAAAATGTACCACAGAATTACAGTAGAACTCTAATTGCTCTGTAAACAGTGACTTAAAATTATGTGGTCCTCTGAATATTTACTGTTTTGTACATCTACAGAATGATGGTCCATCAGACCACATTCGATATACAGCGATCCATACAGAAATTCCATGGAATTCATTAGATACAGCTATTTAAAGAGGCAGGAGAGTTTTTTTTGGTCCAAACTAGACTTGGACACAGCCACTCGATACCAGGAAAAACTAGACTGGGAACATGTCCATGTGTGAACTGGGTGTGATCACTAAAACACATTGTTATCATGTACAGCTATCAGAGCCGGTTCCAGAAAAATAAACATATCAGAGCTGGCACAACGTTTACAAACTCTACAAACTTATCTTAATCCCATTTAAGTAAATTAATAGCTGTGGTTCCAGTGCACATCTGCCTATGCAGCGTTAGAGTACAGTTTAGCTGCGACTATATTTGTCTTCTCTTCCTTCTCTCACTGGCAGAGGGACAGCAAAACCGAGAGCTGGATAAAAGCCAAAAGAGGCCGGCCTGCCGTGCAGCTGAAACTTTTACAAGCCAAGCAGGAAGAGACACGGGGACCAATCGAAAAAGAAAGGAAGAAAAAAAGTGAGACAGACATCTGGACTCTTTTCTTTTTCCTGCTTCTCTCTGTCTCTCCCTTCTTCTTATTCTTTTTTTTAAGCCATACTGTACTTGCACGCCTTCCCTGGCAGGGGGTAAATGTGGGGCTCGGGGACAGGACGGGGAAGGGGAGTGGATGGAGGGGGGCATTTGGGGGGGCAAGGGGCTGTCTGGGGGGTTTTGGGTTGGGGTGGGACATTGGGTTCAGAGGGTTCAGTTGAGGAGAGAAATAAATTCATAAACAACAAAGGAGACGTGACGTCACGATGAGGGGCTGTCCAACCTGCTGGCTGAATCTCGGCTTCCATGGAAGAACCGGATCGTTCACACTACACGTGTTTGCGTGTGTGTACAGTATTAATGTGTGTGTGTGTGCTCTTTGTGCTGTTGTCCTGAAATGTCTTTTGGACTTTGAGCAGAGATACTGGACTCCAATGGTCTGTTTTGTCTCTGCTTTGAGCTTCCCAGGACGAGGGGAAGTCCTTCCAAACTCTCTGCTCTTATCTTAGTCCCTTCAAAGGACTCAGTAACCATTTATCCAGCTGCTACATTAAGGAATCAGCTGCTCTGGTGTATTAATCCCAATTTTTTTTTCAAATAGTTGATGGTAAGTTAAAACGATAGAATTTTTTCATCCTACATTTTTTAAAACCTGGACGTACTTTAGAAGCGACTTCAGCCTTTTTCAAAATGACACAGGCTCAGGAGCGAGCTCTGATTGGCTGACTCCGTCTCGGGACAGCAGCTCAAACACCAGTGATTGGTTGGAAAAGACAAAACTGACCTTGTATGAGAAAAGTGATTTATCGTTTATCTCCTAATCACTGACATGATATGCTGACTTAATCATGCTGAGTCCTGTTCCAATGTGGTTCATGCCAGAATGCAAAACGGAGATCTGAGAGGATCCCAGACTGTAGAAGAAGAAGAAGAAAAAAATGTAGTTCCTGGAATATCCTCCCTGCTCACCCACTGATTCATTTAACTGCATCTAGAAATCCCTCCCACTCAGTAGGGCACTAAAGGAGGGAGACGCTGAAAGAAACTGGGCAGCTCTGAGGTTCTGAACACTGACTCCTGCGTGACTCCTTATTTTTCACCTACGAATGCTTAAAGTTTGATTTGAATTTATTTTTTTAATTTCCTATTGAGATAAGAGAAGACGGAAGAAGTGTCTGGACCTGCTGGTGTGTCTCCGCCATGTGTTTTCTGATGTTGGATGATAAACATGCAAATGTTCGCCAGCGCTCCTCGCTGCTGGCTTGCTGCTTTGTGTCACACTGTCTGCTCATGACAGTTCATGCTTCCTCTCCCTCGCTTTTTCTTCTCTTTTCGTGGCACACTGTCTTTCTAAACTCCTCCTTCTCTCTCTTCCTCCTCTCACTACAGCATGTCCCCTCCCTTCCTCCTTCAATGTCCTCCCCACACCACAACCCTCCGCCGCCCGACTCTGCCCTCCCTTTTCTCTGCTTCCCTCTTGGCAGCGGTGCCAAAGTGGGCAGGCAGACGGAGGCAAACGCATCACAGGGCAGAGCAGAGGGCAAATCAAAGGCTGGCGAATTGATCATGTGTGTGTTTGTGTTTTGGACTGTCCTCTCTCTCTCTCTCTTTCTCTGCGTGTCTGTGCGCAAGTTCTCCTGTGGTCATACGCACTGCAAGTAAGGTAAGTCTTTGAGGGAGTCTCTGATTTTAAGCCCTTTTGCTCCTTACTGTGTACACTCAGTTTGATATTCTGGTTTGTGCATTTTTTTTTGGTTACAGGGCTGTGTGAGAGCTGACGTCCCTCTGTTACTCTTTGTATGGACGGACGTACTCACGCCAGTAGGAGGGGATTGTGGGAAAGGGGGTGTAGCTCTCAGAGGGTGCGCTCTACTCCTCTTGCTTCCCTTCTTCCCGCCATCACGGCCCTCTTTTCAGCCAGTCGTCCTGCCCAGCCGGCCCGTCCGCCCGCCTGCCTCACCACACACAGGCCTCAGGTACTTTTTTCACCTCTATCCCTGCAACACCTCTTCTTGTCCTACTTACTGTCCTGTAAATTTCTCTCCTGCAGTTTTCTCTTGCCTTCCTCTCTGTCCTCCATCACGGTCTCCCTCCCGTAAAACGTGTCTGCCGTCGTCGGTCGCCAACGCCGCACCGTTTTCGCCACACCACATCGTGCTCGCCACCATTTGGCCTAACGGACTCGGCGGCAGAAACTTATTTCTCGAGCCGAGAGGCCAACTCCCCGCTGACCATCCTTTTTCTGCTGCTTACTTTGCCCCTTCTTCTTCTTCTCCCCCCCCTTCAAAGCTCCAGTAGACTCTGGCAGAGTGGTACACAGTCTCTCTGTAGCTTTCTTTAGTGAACAGGTGTCTGTTTGGAGGCTGGCATTATTAAGAGCGGGCCTTCTCGGTCACTCCTGACCTCAGAGGGTCAACTCATAGAGCTCAGGTCAGTAAAAGTTAAACACTGACCAACCAGAGAAAGAGCTTGTCTCTCGGCGCCATTTTGATAGATAGCATAAAGATCATAACAACATAGTTTATTATTTTTCCCTGTAATCTGTGTGCGCTGTCTGCCAGGGACGGAATTAGGGTAAGAAGTGGCATTCCTCACAGCGACACGTGTGTTTGTGCAAACATGTGTTTAGTTTTATCTCTCTGCAATGTAGGGGTGTGGCAGTTCGCTACAAGTCGGCTGTTTGTCCTGAAACAATGACTTAAAGCCGACGACACAGAGATGTATAGCATGCTTAAAGTTAGATGGAAAACCAGGCGGAATCAAAACTAAGTTTAGGCAAAAAGTTGATATTAGTTGTCCGGTCAAAAAGATTGCAAAAGGTTGTCGACATTAAAGCAGAGGAGAGGATGCTTTTGTAGTGAAAAATGCTCTGGTTAAAAAAAGATTAGTTGTTTTTCCCACTTCCTGAAAATAGATAGGAATGATACTTAGCTGTATAAAGATCACAAAAAGGCACCAAAGACAAGAATAGGTTATAAAAAAAGCGAATATCGAGCTACTTTTGACTTCGAGATAACAAAACAAGGGAATCAGCAAACAGTTTTATCCTTTTATCAACATACTTGTAGAACTATAATGACATATTGGCATTTAAAGTTTCTGCTGTATTTAAAAATCTTATTGCCATACTGTATCTAGGTCTAAATAGAGGTTGGTGTTAAAATGGCGCCTATATGCCACGTGTAAACACGAGCAGACCCTTTCAACATGCCCCTCACAATTCGTGGGTAAGCTGCTGCCAGTTTCTTTTTATCAGACTTTGTCATTTCCCTTTGCTTCACACGATTTAAATTGCAGCCTAATGCTTAAATATGTTCGTTTTTTTTCAAAAAGAGGAAGAAAATCTTTTATTCAGATACTGAAATAAGAAGAGGATTTACAGAAAGTATTTTGAGAAAAATAGAGAACAAGTTACAGTAGAGAGGCAGAAAGAGAGTGGTAGGAGTGGAAGAGCTCTTTCCCCGCCCCTCTCTTATCCTCAGATGAACTTATCGTGTTGCCTCATAATGTTTCTGAGCTTTTTTTCTCCTAGAGGCAGTCAGGCTAACTTCCTGCATTCAGGCTCGGCTCAGTTGATTGGCTGACATGGTGGCTGACCAGCCATAGTTTGCAGCGAGGCAACAGGAAGTTTCTCTTCTTATGCAGGAAGCTGCAGCTGTTTCATCCTGACATACACCACTTTGCACTTTGCACGCATTTGAAAAAAAAGAAACACGCACACAAATCGTCTGCATGCTGTATATATTTGCATGTGTGGGGGGACTCAGGCTGCATGTGCATGCCTGTTTATAGAATTTGTAAATGCTATAACACGTGGGCGTGTAAGGACACGTCAGATAAGGACTGTGAGCTATCAGAAACATTTACCATCATGGTGACTCCACATTGAAATAGGGAATAAAGCAAATAAAATAGAAAAATCCAAGAGAGGAACAGATGTGTAAATGGCAGAGGTTAAAAAGTATTTTTTTGTTTTCCAATTCTGATTTGTAAAGAGAGAGGAAGGCCTTTGAAGAAACTAGTTATAGATTGTAAAAACTATTAAGAAAAAGCATATTTGGTCAGTGGTAATGTTTGATTCCTATTTTGACTGTTATTAATGTAAATAAAAGGGCATTATTGGGTAAGAGATTATTAACCTTAAAAAAAGTACCACAGCTACAAGTTTTAAACCTTAAACCCGTACCACGATAACATAATTCTATCTAAAAAGATCTGGCTACTATTTTCTTACAGCTCTAATTTGTGGCTTTTTAGACCCTGCATCTTGACTATCGGTAGTTTTTGAGTCCAAACAACAAAAACCTCCAAACAACTGCATTTGTTTTCTTAAGCATGTAAGGAAACCTTTATTAGCTTCTTTTTAACCAGGTGACAGGTTGTGCATGGCAACAAGTGGAGGAGGGGCAGTACTCTATTGCTCTTTGATCCACAGAAAAAGCAGTAAAACACACTGATTGTTACTCTAAACACCAACACAGGGAGCGCTGTGCAGTTTTTGTCAGTTAGTTATTTTTGTGCCCCCAGATATAAAGATGGCTGCTCTAGAATCACATTTCAGACTGGCTGACAACACGTGTTTACAAAAACCGCCTCATAACTGAAAAACGTATTTTTAGCTACTAACAATATAGTTATAACTAACATTACTAATACTACTAATTTTAACCTTTGCTTTGAAGGTTAATTTTACACTTTATCACTTTGATTTATAGAATTAAGCAAAAATATAGACTAAACACCCGTTTGATATGATAGCAGGTTTTTACTGCTTTGTGGAGAACTTTGTGCTTTCTTTTCTTATCTCTAAATTAAAATGTTAAGAAAAAAATACAACGATTAGATTTATGGAAAGCAATATGTTGTTAGTTCAAACCAATCATACAGACAAGTCATTTAAGGACACTAACATTTGATTAGTAATAAAAAAATGTAGCCAAGTACACTTTATTACTACAGCTACTTAGTTTTTTTCTCTTAGGAAGCCCAGCCAATTGCATTATGTTGCTGCCTGTAGCAATCCCTGCTTGGACATTAGCTGAGTAATTTTTCAGGCTGCCATCTATAGCAAGCAAATCTGTAGTTGTAGTTTTCTGACTGCAGCTTTAAACCAGCAACTGTTAGTTTCAGCTGTCTGCCATTTTTTTAAGACAACCAAATTGATATTTTTTCCTCTTTCAGCCAGCTAACCGGCAGTGCATCAGTCATGTTTTTTAAAATCATGTTAAACTCGTTATTGTTACCATAGGGATACAAAAATGTTTAAAAAAGCATAGCCATATATATTCTACTGCAAAAGGTACATTTGTGAAAAGATTTGTACTGCCTTGTTGGTTATTTAGTTATGTTTCATTCTAATGTTTTTTTTTAATCCCAGTTCATGGCTTTGTCTGAGCTGGCATCACACATAACCATAATATTACATTTGTGAAAAGCTGCACGCCTAAGAAGAATATTATATTTCACTTGAATATCCAGACTTTTGGCAACATCATCGTGCTTTCCACTATCATATCTATGCCTCTCCCTGAAGTCTCAGTCCAGCTTTTTCATCTCCATAATTATATGTAGTTGTAGCGGAAGAATCTAATAAAATTAGCCGGTAAAGCAGTAGGTCCTTAAATGCATGCAGGTGAGGCAACTGTGATGTTTGTTTTTGTGTAAGCCAGGGCATATGGCCTTACAGCCCCCTGTGCACATACACATATGAGCATGAGCCGTGTGAGTGTTCAGACGGGTTGATGAGGATATAAAGAACATCAAAGCGGGCACCATGCCAGGTAATATGGAGGAGGCTCAGGGCTTGCATCCTGCGCTCTTAAATGTAGGAGTGAGGCCTTCTGTGTAACAGTGAAAAGATGAAAACTGCCCTTTTGATAGACTCTCTTATCAATTTATAAATAGAGGATCAGAAATCCTGGCCGGTGTAAAGGAAAACATCTATATGCATTTTTTTGTAGAGAGATTTCTTCATCCTTCCATCTATTGTGCGGCATACTTCCTCTGTCAATGCCAGCTCCCCAACTGTGCCTCCTCCTCCCCTTTTTCCTTTTTTTTTTTTTTTTTTGCCCACCACCTCCTTACTCCTTATTGAAATTCTGCCTGGCACAGAGATGCTGCCCATTCTTGGCACAAAGCTCAGGGAGAGAGAGGGATGGAGAGAGGAAGAGAGTAGGAAGGAAGAAAACACACACAAGAACCTGCACCAATCGTTGGGTCCCCCCCTCTTCATCCTCCCCCACCTCCTCCTCCATGGCGTCCCTGTGCCAAGCATTCATCCCGTGTCGTGGACGAAGGGACCAGGCAAGCCAGTAGGTATTTCCTTGCCTCTGCTTCCTGCAATAATCCGCTCCAAATTTGAGGAGTCTTCTTGGCAGCTGAGTCTTCTGTGAGCACGTTTTCGGGGAGCTTTGCTAATTCGTTTGTGTATTGGTTGAGGAACAAATCCTGCATCCGGAGGGGGGGTTGAGAGGAAGCGAAGGCCTTTTGTTTCCATGATATTTATTTATTATATTTATTTTTGCATGGTTTGCCATAGAAGTGACTTTTTCTTTTTTCTGGTGTTTGGACATAAGGAAAATTAAAATCTAAGCTCCAAGATTTTCTAACGTTCTTAACAGGAATTAGTTCTATTTGCTATAAATGAAATAGAGGGAATGGAGATGACTTGCTTTTTTAACAGCATTTTATTTTTAGTTTGATCTAATGTCAAATATTGTTGCAACTTGCAAACAACAGTTTATTCTTGTCTATTTCTTCAAAAAGAAACCTGTTGACCGTGTAGCAAGCTAACATCTGACAACTGAAGAGTTTTACCACACGGCGTCTTTAAAAAAGTTGGAACTATCATCCAAAGACAAATGCCTCTGCTGAAACAGGAAATTGTCTGCAGAAAAACATTATTTTTTTTCAGTTACAGCAGAGTAGTCTTATCAGTGCACAAGAGGGCACAAGGTTCGTGGTTCCTGGTTCACTCCTAATGTCAGCTTGGAGACTTGTGGCCTTTATTCTGCAGCAACAGATGCAGAGACTGTCAGATGGACAGAAGAGATTTATCCGTTTTTGCCTCCCTTGTCTGAGACCTTCCCCAGCTGCCTGAACAAGCTTTGCAGGGCATTCATCCTATAGCTGCTGACAGAAAAAAAAAAAAAAGATTCCCCCCAGCTGAGAGCCATGCATGTCCTCCATAAAGCTTAGAAAAGTTTGCAAACTCAGTCAGCAGAGGTGCTCACATGACTGACAGGGTGCAACCTCGTTGCTTCCGCTAAGGCGGTTTGCCAATCATTCACTTTTAACCCAGCAGCATTTAATGTTTGAAATCCTGATATTTTTCAACCAATTTTTTTCCCATGAATCTGTTTGCTTCCCTCTCCAAGCACAGCTTGTGTCAAGGGAATGTTTCTTGGCGCACACATACAGCTCAAAGGTCTGCTAGTAGCATTGTGGCAGAGGTGGGCATCAGGCCAGCACACACACCCCCTGCCCCGTTCTCTCTGTCTGGTCTGCTGTAATCAGACTAGTGGGGTTTGCAGCATACTAACTACAACCTAGTCTGGACTACGTCTCGGGGGTTGTGGCTGTATGCTAATTTATGCAAGCAGTGCACCTTCTAACCCATTCTGTGTCTTCTGAGGCCCGAGCCTGGCATTTAGTCTGGCACTTATTAACCCTTCAGCGGCTGCTGTGTTAACCTGCTGGCAGGTTCCAACGCACCTCATATGAGCGGACCTTTCTCTGTGAACCGTCCAGCTGCCTGATAAGAAACAGTTTCTTCTGCCTGAGCTTTCGTGATTGAGTGTCATAAGGGTCGGTTGGCTTCGGCTCATTGCTTGGCACGCGATTCATTCTCTCTAACTTGTGATACAACAGCTGTTCTTTCTTCATTGTGAGGTCTGAAGGCTCAGGAATGAAAGGGGAGGTGGGGGAGGCACAAGGTGGACCTCGTAATGTTTTTAAGCAGACCTAAAATGGCCGAAGCCTCACAGGACGCCATTTTGTGCTTCCTTGTTGTGTTTTGGGGGGCAGAATCCCAGCTTTGTATTCAATCAGACGGTGGAAGCCGTGTTTGCAGGCATCTGTATCTGCGTACCTCCGACTGAGAGGCAGCAGCCACTCCAACGCAGGGATAGCCCCGCTGGAATGAGCTCAGTTTTTTTGGCAAAAACCGGAGAAGGATTCCTGGCACAGAATTGAACAGCTCTCTCTCTCTTTTCTTTCCTCGTTCGATCACATGCCAGAGACTCAGGAAGCCAGTGAGTTGTTTGTTAGGCTATTGCACACTAGCGCTGACTTGGCGGATGTCCGCCTACCGTTCAATTATTTTTTCTGTGATTTATATTTTAGGAACAAAGTCGCAAATTTCCCCCCTTCAACAAAACAAGCTATGCTGATCAATTATAATTTGTATTTTTGTTCTGTGGCTTGTTTGGTTTGTAGTTATTATTATTTTCCTTATTTGTGGTTGTCGCATTCATTCTCATTAAGCATGAAAAGCTTTTGCCAGAATCTGGAATTTTCTGAGAAAATGGTTTTAAGAAAAGCCTACAAGTAAGTCACATTGTTCGTCAGGGGCTCATCTGTGAACTCTCTATAAAAACATTTATAAAGTCGTATGGAGCATGAGTTTATCACAGTAACAGTCTCTGTCTTTTTGTTTCTGTACCCTTGCAGGAAGATGACCTTTGTGGAAGTTTGGCGTGGATGCAGCATGGATTGTGTCCTTGGGGCTGAGGTAGTAGATTGAATAGTTGTGGGGTTCTTTAGCCTCTTTTTCAGATAACTATACAATCTACTGTCTTTCCCAAGGAGACAGCTGAGTCAACCGATCGTCAACTGTCGTCTAAAGATCGGCATTTATGATGCCCCAAAAATGCATGCAGTAATTAATTTAGCATGTTTATTTTTGTATTTCCCCCCCCGATAAGTAAAGGTATGGTGTGTTTGACTCGGGTTTTGTCAGGGTGAGGTAGTAGGTTGTATAGTTTGGTAGGTGGAACTGCACCCTGCTGAGGTGATAACTATACAGTCTATTGCCTTCCCTGAGGAGCCCACTCCACACTTATGGATCTTCAAGAAAATCTCTTGGCTGGACTCTTAGTTATTCTCAGACAACATACAGAGGCTGTGATTGTCTTATTGGATGGTTTGCATTTACTTTATTGCTTTATTGCATGAAAATGTTCAATGCTTAAAGACATGTACATATCAATAAAAACATTAAAATCCTTTAAATCTTTTGTTAAAAAAAATCACAGTAAGTAAGGTATCTCTTAAAGTTATATTTCATAAAAGCACAACACACTGCAATTCTAATTCTAGCTGATCAGCAACTGTTAGGTTTGTGGATCTATGGTGCCCTCTAGTGGAGCTTTGATAAATTGCTCTTACTAAAATAAAGTCTTCATTAAATCAAACACTGTTAAGGAAGTCAGATATGTTTCATTATTATTTTAAATTGAACAAAATCCGATTTCATAACTGCTTTATAATGACAGAGTGAAGCTTTGGAAAAAAATAAATCTATTACATAAACCTCAAAGTTTCATTACTTTAATTAGTGGCCTGCTGTGGTTTGTTGATTTGGGTTGTTTCTAGTGAAGCAGTTCAGCTTTAGTGTGAGACGCCTCCATGTCTGAGCATAGGCCCTCTGGATCTTGGGGATGCGATACGCGTAGACCAATGGGTTAACTGCTGAGTTGGCATGAGACAGGAGAATACCTGGAGAAGGATTGTTTTGTTACTGTCATAATTGTTATCTGCAGTCACACAACATAGAAAATAAAGCATAGCTTGAAGCAGGATTTTCTTTATCCATAAATTGTATTATTCACTTTAAAAAATGATGCATAGTCTGTAATAGAATTGAAATACCTTTGTTGTTTTTACATTTTTGTGTGACCATGGTAAAAACAGATAGGAAGAACGCTTAAAGGGATGCGTGACACAAAAAAAAAAAAAAAACATGGAAAAGAACAACATTTCTAAGACATACAGAAGATAAAAAAGGATGAAAGAGAAAAAAAAAGTGCAGTTATAACTTGGAAAGGAAGAGTCAGATAAAAACAAGCAAAAAGAAAAGAAAAAAGCAGCTTGTTTACAGAAAGCTGGAAAACTTGCAATTTGTTGTTGAAATAGTAGCGGAAATGAATTCTTATTTTTATTTAATGCTGCATTTATCACTTGAAAAAGACAATATAAATGCTTATAAATATAATAATATTAAAATTACATATTGTTATGTATTTATTTAAAAGCATAATGTGTTTACAGCCAAACACACACACACATATATATATATATATATATATAGTCTTCATAACATTTGGTTCAACTCCTGTGAGACACTTTTCTTGATCCTGCGCTTTTCGTTGCCACCACCAAGCCTGTAATTTAATTCTGGCTGTTCATTTGACCTTTGTTCTTGAATCTTTGGACGGCTTTAAATCTGTTGGTTTTCTATCATGGACCTTGCTTTCAACAAATCCTGCAGTCTTTCAGTAAATTTGAGCCACTGCTTTGGGCACCTTAATGCCACCCTACTGTGTTCATCCCAAAGCCAGTTCTGAAATTTTGGGGGATCATCTTCCTTTTTTCAGGGTTTTGTTCAAAAAAGAATCCTCTTTCATCATAACTTCACTCTCTTTGCTCAGTACATCAACAAAACAATCCACAGCTTTAATAGTTTAATAGGTGTTTGAAATCACTTAGACGTGCAGACTGCTTCTACAAACATTTGTGAAAGAACGGCTTGCTCTCAGGAGCTAAAGGAATTCCACTGTGGTCTTGAGATAGGATCAGAGATTTGCAACAAGTCCAAACATGAACTTTCTTCACTCCTATATATTCCCACATCAGCTGCCGGTATTAAGATTGGAAATGACGGTAGCTTAGCCATCTTTCTACAGGCTGCATAACTGACGAGCAGAGTGCTTAGAGGTCACCAACCTTTGGGAGATTCAATTGCTTCAGGACTTCAAACATCATTTAGCCTTCAGATAAGTTCAAGAAAAGTGCATAGAGAGCTATATGGAAAGGCTTTCCGTGGCTGAGCAGCTTCTCCGAAGAGTCTGTTTGCGGCAGAAAATCAATCCGGTCTGAATGTATCATGACAAGTGTAGCATTGTCTCAAGCGTTTTTTTGTTTTGTTTTGTTTTTTGTTTTTTGTTTTTTTTTTCCAGGAGCTGGGCTTGGTCCCTTAGTTCCACTAAAAGGAACTAGGAATGCTTCAGCCTACATAGACCATTTGGACAATTCCATGTTCTCACCTTTGCGGTCAGAGCTTGAAAATAGTCATAATGGTTATAAAAAATATCTCTAAAAGATTTTTAAAACTTGTTTAAATATACTCCTTGATAGATCTTCAATGAGTTACTTGGACCTTTCCATTATCTCTGTGTTAAGTTATGCCAAATAAATATTTTTTATGCTGGAAATGAGACCATCTACCATCAGTCGCTCATGGTCACTATCTGGAGCTTATATGACAGTGCTTGACAAGTTACAAGACATTTAGAAAAATTTAAATGTAAGGTATATACATGTAAAATGTATGAGTTTTCACCTGAATCATTTTAAAGCAGCGTGGAAAAGGTAAAAACCACTATAAATTGAAATGTCTTGACCCAATATATTATTTTGTACAAACTCTTGAAGTTGTGTGTTATGTAAACAACAGCTGAAATAAAATCAAAACATTAAGAGCCTGTAATGAATGTGACATTAGAAATGCTTCATGTTCATTTCTTCCAGGGGTTGTAAGCTGATCATTTTTTTTTTTAAAACGTCAGCATCTGTGTAAGAAGTTAAAATCAACAATAACTTGCCTGTGTAAAGTGTTCCCTGCGTCACCGCTTGAGGTCCCATGAAGAGCAAAAGACAGTTCATTGAGTGCAGAGGAATCCAGCAGCATGCAAATAATGTCAGAACCAGAGAAAGTGAGCAGGCTAGCCTCTTCTCTCTAAGCAGCGAGGCCTGCGCTTGAAGGCAACAGTTTTTTAGACGTTTGTGCAGGCTCCAGAAGATGATGATGTATAGAAATGTCATAACTAGCAGAGGAGCCATTATGCATCCAAAGAAATTGAAATAAACCATAAAGGGCAGCGAGATAACTGAGAGGAAGGTGCATTGGGAGTAGCTGGGAGAGGCAGAAGATGTGTTGGTTGAATAAACCCCAACAGAAATATTGTGCCAACCCAACAGAGGGGTGAAACCCAACAGAAAGGAAAGAATCCAGCAGACGGACATGGCTAACAGTGTGCACCTCTGGGTGACGATGGCTTTGTATCTGAAAAGAGAAAAAAATAAATAAAAGGCAATACATAGGAGAAAATTATACTTATAATTAACGTGCTTGGGAAATTACATCACCTTTACCTGAAAGGCATGTGCAGCCGCAGGTATCGGTCAATGGCAATAGCCAGCAGAGAGAGGACGGATGCTTCAGTCAGCACAAGCACAACACAGCTAAGGAGCAAGCACTGGTGGGAGGTCAGACTCACCCGGCCGTCTAACAGCACAGCTAAAGGCACAGCAGCTGCACCCACCAAAAAGTCAGCAACAGCCAAGGACACCAAGAAGCAGAAAGTTGGCCGCCGAAGGCAATCTTGGATGCCAAAAGCCACTGCACACACCACCAGCACATTCCCAAAGCAACATGCCACAGCAATCAGCACTTCCAGCACTGTATAAGTCACCCATCCCCAATCACCCATTACTACAGATTGACGGAAATAACTTCCTTGGAGGTAAATCATGCACAGACAGGTTTATAATAAAAGAAGGAAATAATCAGCATAATCCATCCGTATTATTCAGATTGTGATTAGGACTGCTTAGAAAGGCAATAAGCAGAGGTCTTTTATATATATGATCATGCGTGCGCACTTAAAAGCTGAGTGACACTCCATGGAGACACCATCTGTATTTCATCAGTAAGTCAAAACCTCTCCTCAAATTTTGATGGATATGTCCCAGGAGCTTGAGAGGAGAGAACTACTTGTTCCTTGGTTTGCACTCTTAACAGCTTTTCGATCATAAAGTAATGCAATTAGATCTATGTTCCCAACTATTAATGCTTTATACAAATAGACACAGTTAACAAACCAATTTAACAAGAGCCGAATAATTACAATGTTAATACAATTTTTTACTTGTCTGTTATAGATGTTTTTAAACCTTGTAATGTTTATGGCAGATATGTCTAATTTAGATTCATTCTTCCTTTAAAATAAATTCCACTAGGAACCATATCAGAATTATCATTTCACTTGAACATGAACAAAAGTCTTCATGAACTGGAAAATGGCAGTTTTACTGTAGCTGCAAGTAACAAGTTACATTATTGAGCCCTCCACATTTACCTGTACCCGATGTAAAGATGTTTATGTCATGACACAGAACAGAAGACTCAGTAGTCAAGGCCAGACAGACAGTGGGATAACTCAAAAGGCATTTATTAAAATCAAACGAAGTAGCAGCGGCTATCTAAGGCTGGAACCTCTGCATGAGAGAAACAAAGGTTATTGACCACATAAATCTAATGGTGAAAGATTATGAATGTGAGTTTCTAACCTGGTTTTAGAGTTCAGTCCATGCCCAGAGAAAGAGGTAGGATCCAGCCGGTGGGCTGCCAACAAGATGTAGCGGGCACCCCCCAGAGTGTCCCAGATGCTGCAGCCCCAGAGAACATTTAGGAGTACCAAGCCAGGTCAGGCAAACAGATCAAAACAGGAATAGGCAGGCTCAGTGGCTCAAACTGACTTTAAATTGTGATTTTTTTACTGGTAAAATTCTATTTTATTTTTTACCACCACATTCTTCTCTAGTAGGTGAAGCATAAAGGTTATTCTTGCTTTTAGAGTTGAACGGAGTGTCTAAG